GGAACCGGTTTTAAATATTCGAGTTTATCACATCAAAATTCGAGTTTATCACTCCAAAATTCGAGTTTATCACATCATTTATTAATAATAATAATAATTGGTGTGATAAACTCAATTTTGGAGTGATAAACTCGAATTTTGATGTGATAAACTCGAATATTTAAAACCGGTTCCAACCTCTAAGCTGTGTTTTAATTGACTGCACCCCATATGTAAATGACCTTCTAAGTCATTTGGGCCTCGAAATGACCCAATCTAGTCATTTGTAATTTGGTTATTTGGGTCATTTCAGGTCATTTACCATCACTGGTTACAACACCTCACACAGCCTAACACGTGAATGCCGACCAAATTAGTCTCAAACCGCCATTTTCAAAATAAGGTACTTCAAAGGTCTTCGGCGTAAAGACAAAAAACATAGTATAAAAATATGAAATCGTTTGATATAATAAAGAATACAAATTATATTGCGAGATATAAATGTAAGCTTAGAAATGAAAACTATCTTTTTTCACAAAAACATATAGTGCAGCAACTTACAGATCCCTTAATTAAATCATTACCCTGAAAATTTTTTGACATTACACTTGACAGCTCGCTATGACACGTTTTTGATTGTTTATGGTAACCCACATGATACGAATCTCAACAAACATCTGAACACAATAAAACCATGCTACTACTGCTAAATTAGAAATCGTCACATTTACATTATTGCATAGCTTTTTAAAATTAATCAAATTATTAAAAATATATACTTCGTATATATTATCAATTAACAGCGAAAGGATCACATCCACAACTAATAGCTCTCAAAGGAAATGAAAATAAAGATCCACAGACTAATCCAAGTACTATAAAGAATGATAACAAAGTTCCTGCCAAATCCTTTACTACACCAAACACTTGAGGACCTGCCATCATACACATTGATGCCAAATATCCATTTGTTATCCCAAACATTATTAGTACTAAAAAATAAAACCAATCATTATTTATCAATAATGGAACTATCCTTTTTCCATACATTCCAACATCTACGTTGCTAAAAAGAAACAATGGAATAAATATTATTCGAGCTAGGCACAATATGAATAGATGATATTGTGATGTTATTACTAAAGATTTAAAAGTTGGTAAATTCCTACCAACCCAATCACAGAGATTAAAAATTAAAAAATGTAGTGGTATGAATAAGTAATCTTGTTGAAATAGATATTTTTTTTGATTAGAAGTTGTGGATTTTATAGATGCAGTGATTGATGGATATAATGCCAAGGTGACAGTAAAATCAACAAACATTGCAAAGCATAATAATTGAATTCTATTAAATGTGCTTTGAAGAGAATGATTGCTTAATGTTTGATCGATAGGATGAATTATAGGTTTTTCATGTGGTGGAAAGTGATGAAGGTATAGTGATGAGCGAGTTAGGATAAAGTAAGTGATTAGTGAGAGTAGTGACATGAACATTGAGAAAAGAAAGCAAGCAAGCGCCATTTGTGATAATTCTGCCTCTGTCGGCGTATTTTTGTTTTCTAATGTTATTGCGCTTACAATTTCAAAAACTGCTACTATTACTCCGGCCAGACCTTAAAATAATTATTTTGTCACATGATTAAAACCGTAATATGACATTTATTTAAAAAAGCAAAACACGTTAGGTGCAAATATATAATGTGTACCTTGGCCACTAATGGAAGTTTTTAGTACAAAAACCATTTGATAGAATAATTAGTTAAATGTAAAAAATAAACAACTATTAGTAAAATTTTAACAAAATACCTCATAACAGCTTGCATGTATATTGGAGAAAACTGTGAAACAACCGCAAAGGTTCCATTTTGTAGATAAGCAGTAAAGGCTCCAGACAAAAACATAAAAAGAATAATAAAATAAAAATATCCATCTGGTGTAAACAATTTAAATTGTGTAGTTATCGCGACCATCATAAAAATCATTGTTAATGAAAAAAGCGAAACGGCTATTCGACCAGACATATTTGCCTTTAAAAAAAGAAAAATAATTGAAAATTAATCGAAAATTGGAATGATATATATAAATGATATTTATCAACCTACAGATTTTTGAAAATATATAGCATATCCGAGAAATAATAAATTTGGAAACATGAAACTTATTGAAAAGTAATTTTCAAAGTTATCTACGAATGGAGTTCCAATAAACCTGACGTGGAAATAAACCATAGTGGTTGTGAATACTAAAATGTAGAGAACAATTAATAATAAACATTTTCATAAATCTGGGTGCCTAGAAGATAATTTTGATTACCATTCCATCCTAAAAGAAGCGCGATTCCTTGTAAAAAGAAAGTAAAATAAACTATCATATAATTATCTTCAGGTATCTGACCATCCTGATTAGTTTCCAAATTATTCGAATTATGTTTAAATTCGTCATTGGGTGATTCGTAGCTAATTGAATAATGTCCTTCGCGAATATCATTTCTCGAGCTTGACATTTATATAGTATATATTCGGCTTCAAAAATAAAGCAACGCGTGATCGACCTGACTATATTTTCTTATACTTCTTATTTCTTTCTGTCAGATTATGGCATAAAGAATAATAAATGACAAAAAAAAAAAGCCAATAAATTGGCGTTTTAAATAAGCAGAAAATTTTTTTTCCTCTTCGTCCGATTACCAATAGTCAAAAGACATTTATAACTACTAGTATCACTACTAATATAAAGCCACATGAATTTTAAAATATTGTCGTTGACGTGGTTGACGTGGCGAGATGTATCGTGACCGCGTGGAGTGGTTAAAATTTGCCGATCTATTTATGTGAGGCTTGTATACTGTATTTAAATTGAGCCGACACAAGTATTGGGTTTTTTTCATGTTAAAATTTTATAGTGACCCTCAAAAAAAATGCATCACGTCTGAATTATGCTATTAAAAAAATTTTTTATAATTATTGTCCGAAGCAACATTCTATACATGCATTGGCCGGAAATTCTATGGCAGTGCAAATTAAGATGAAACTTTAACACTAAATGCTAACAACTTACACAGCTTCTCCAGAAAAAAAAATTTTGCTGCTAACATGTGACTTCGAAAATTGATTGCCGGTAATGTTTATCATGCTAGGACTTCACGAAATAAAGAACATCGTATATAATTACTCAGTACTCATATTCACTAAAAATTGTGTATCATTACTCAGTGTCTATTTATTCATGTTAATTTGGCTGGTAAGTATAAATAACTTTTAATCAGTTACTTAATAATAAACAAATTAAGTTTACAGACATTACTTATTTTATTTGAAATAATTTAGTCAGTTGAATATACACTTGTTCGTGTTAATCTAATTGATGTGAATAATAAAGGTCTTTGTAAATGTCAATATATTGCTGCTTATATAATTTTGTTCAATTTGTGTTAGTTAAGTATAAATATCTTTGGGCGATATGTTTATCATAAAGCAAGCTATCCGAGTTCGAAAATACTTTTTATTACGTATTAATTTTACAAAAAAGATATAATACATTTTTTAACTTACTCTTATATATTCAATATTTTCAAAAAATTTATTTTTATAATTTTGTATAATAAATACTATTTCTTATTTTTTAATATTGCTTTATTTTATCTTTCCAAAAACATCATTATTCTCTATATTAGTGTTACAAATTGTCAATTGAATAACAACTAATCAACTATCCCCATATATCAGATCCCCTATGAATTAGACCCGTGTATGAATCACAGGATCTCTAATAAATAAATGCAGATGTTTTAAAAAACCTAGACTGCTTATTACAAATGCAAATTATGTATGTACTTTAGAGTTTACCTAGCTAGAATATAAATGCTCAGCTGTGTAATAGACCCAAGTCTACTATAGGTTTTAAAATCGGTGGCAACTATTAATTAAAATATTAATGATTTTTTTAATTAATTAGTAATTAATTCTTTAATTAATTAGTTGCAACTAATTAATTAATTAATTGATTATAATCAGACCTCTTAATGTAACAGAACTATATATAAAAGTTTAGCAACCATACACTTAGAGAGGTATTGCATTTAGGAAGGTAAAATTTATAAATACAATATCAGTTGGATTCAAGAAAAGATATGTATTTAAAGGGCTTTTTATAAAACACGCATTTAGAGGGGTCTGACTGTAGTTGGTATCTAAAAAGTTAAATCAATTAGTTGTCAACCAACTACAGTAATTGATTTTTCAACCTTTGATTTGTAATACTATTTTATATTACAAAAAAATTTATTAAATCAGCAAAGTTACTGTAAAATGGTCCTTTTAAATAAAGAAGAATCGAGAATAATATTACCACTATATATAAATAAATCAGAATTTAAAAACTAAATTCAATTAATAAAAATTTATTTGTCTAATCCCTGCACGTGACCTTTTATATCATATTTTTCAGGAGGTAATTTGTAGAAATTACACCCAGGGAATTACCACTAATAACAAACTAGATTACCGTATCCTGCCGTGAATAAGCACCCACCTTTTGCAATCTTCATACCCAAGTTTCTCATGATCTAGTGGTCGTATCTGTATAATTTTGGTATCATTTGAATCGTTTTGATAAGCTGATTCGAATAGTTCCAAAATTATACAGATCTGATCACTAGATCATGAGAAACTTGGATATGAAAATTGCAAAAGGTGGGTGCTTATTCACGGCAGGATACGGTACTTGGTTTTTTACATTTTAAATTAAACTGGAAAGTATATAACTTATAATTAAAGCATTCGATTGTTTTATTTTATTGCAGATACTAAAGCTTACATATTTAAAAAAATAAAATTAACAACATTAGCGAGTAACATTAATCTATCTACACGTCACTCTGGGTATAACGACATCATAGTAAAATCTTTCTATACTGACATTTTTTTCAAAAATTTTAATATAAATGTCGGTATAACTCATTATATCAACATTTTGAATTTTTTTACCAATGTCTCAAAAATTTCGATATCATGTACCTATCTTCTAACTATATCTCTATATTAGTTCATACGTTTTAACGTTTTTGATTGGATCAGATCCGAAAATGTGATCTGAAACGCGATCTAAGTGGAAAAATTAATTACGTATAGTATGATGATACCAGTAATGGCAAATGACAAGGTCATAAAAATTTTTATGAAAATGACCATAAATGACATGTCATTTTAAAATGACAATGTCATTTATTATAAAAAAATTTTATACAAAGCCATGGCAAAATGACAAGTCATAAAAAATATTTTTATAAATGACATTAAAATGAAAATAAATGACAATAAAGCCAGCTACTTTTCTAGAGCTGTCATTGGGCCGCCTTGCCACTGTTCACCTTCCCTATAAAAAATTTTCAAAAAATGTATCCCAACTTTCTCAGATTATTGTTCCATTATTGTTCCAGAAAATGCTCATTTTTCAGATAAGCTATATATGATTTCCTGGTCATTTCTATAGAATTCTGATAAATTCTGGGTAAAAATCAAATCTGGATAATATTGGGTTTCTAATTATAACAAAGTACAAAGTATTAGAAGCCGAATCTTACATGGATTTGATTTCTACCTAAAACTTACCTGGATTCAATAGAAATGGCCAGGAATTTGTATATGTTTTGTTCTGAAAAATGAGTATTTTCCAGAAAGTTAATGGAATGTTAATCTGGAGAAAGTCAGGGTATGTATTTCGAAAATTTTTATAGAGCTTATAACTGCAAAATAAAAATAAAAATAAAAAAAAGATTAACATCTGCATCTGATGTCCCTGCTGTGTTATCGCTTGATACTTCAGAGGTACAATTTTTATAATCATGTTTATATGTACAAGTGACTCTCAATATAAGAAAGATGGTTGGGTCCATAGTAAAAATTTTACAAATCTTTCTTATATCAAGAGTTTATTAATAACTTTCTTATATCGAGTGGATTTATTATAGACTGGTTTTGGCTTGAACTTTCTTATATCAAGAGTTTAATTAGTCTTTCTTATATCGAAGGTTTCTTATATTGAGAGTTACTTGTATATATATTATAATTATGCAATTATTTAATTAAATAGTCTTTCCATATCAATATTGATGTAAATAATGTAAATAATGAAAATATTTCTTATCATAATTGTAAAAATGCAAATTTCGTTACAAGTTTGTATTAAACAAGAATAAATAAATGATTATAAATGTAAAAAATTTAATATTCATATAATAAATAGAAAATTTAGAACTCAAAATTATTCAACGTACTTATTTCTCAAAATCCATTGTATAATTGTGTAAATCAAAATTTTACTTTAGTTGGCTGCACTTAATAATAAATAAAAACATATTTAGGATTTCAACAAATTGTCAGATTTACCTATTCCACTCCAACGAATACTTCCATCAAGTTATGAATATAAAATTGAAAATTATAGTGAATTAGCATCTATTATTGCTGTGGAAAATGTAATAATTGGACAGCTTATAGTTGACTTATTTGTAAATATTAATAACAGTAGTTTAATGAATTTCAAGAAATATCTAAAACAACAATGCGACTAATGTGAACCTACCAGCTAAAGAGAATAAAATTGTTTTTAGAGAGCTAAAACACTGTATTCACAGTAATTTAACCAAATTAAATGTTTTATATAGTTATAGCGATTACTCTATTCTTAATATGTATTAGCAATTTGACGTTATAAATTTAAAATTCGCTTGAATTACTGTATGTTTATTATGCTAAAAAAATTCAGTATTTTTTTATTTTTTTACCTTCGTCATCACATTTTTGCTGCTATGCCGCATATGACACGTGGCGCACCGACCTGGTACATATTTTCCGTTTGCCTGCTTTTGCGTCACTGTCAACTTGAGAATAATAATTATCCAGTAGTTACTATTGATCATGTTACCCATCAATATTTATTCCATTCAGAATTTTAATATTTCTTTTTTTTTTGGATATATATCTTTTTTTTTTAATATAATCATAACGATTATTTTAATTCATGTCAAAAAGTCTCTGAGTTAAAAAAAAAGAAAAAAAAAAACAACCCAGAGAACGAAACCACATAATAATTTACATAATTAATATGAGTAACATGATCAATGAACACTCCCAGATAATATCGTTATCAGGTAGAATGTAGATAACATTGTGTCATCTACATTCTACCTGATAACTATTAATTATCTAATGCCAACTCATAAAGAGCCGTTAGAATAATTATTTAATACTAACTATAAAAAGCTGTTAAAAAATGATTGTTTGATTATTTGGCATTCACGGTAAGCCTGTTTATTAGCTAAAATTCGCATTGCTGTTCACGTTCGCATGTGCTAGTCTATAAATTATATAAACTATAAATGACAAGTATAGTCATAAAAAAATAAATGATTTTTTTATGACAAAAATGACTTGTCATATGACAAGTGTCATTTATTTTTAAATGACAATGTGCCATTACTGGATGATACAGCATTAATTTTTGAGATTCTATTCTAGAATGTCATAATGATCGTATCAGAATCCCAAAATTGTAATGATCGTGGAGCCTTGCTGACCCATTACTGCATTCAGATTGTTCGAAAAATTTAGAATTTTCCCAAAATTACATAAATTATGTAAATTACGGGCACTGATAGCTTAGTGACAAATGAATTAAAGAAATGTGAAAACTTATATATAAAATCGTGATCGTTTGTAGCTATATTTTAGTTTGCTCTACTCTGGTTTTTTGCGCGTTATGCGAACTTACATTTTTTAACTGGGATATGGATAATGTTAATAACATGCAAAAGTGAACCATATACTGTATATTACCAGAATAGTAAGTTCTGCAAAAGAATTTTTACAGCAATTCATGATGAAAATCACGATAATTCCAACACAAAATTAACTTGGCTACATAGCGAATTCTTTAGCAAGATCTTTTACAGCAACTCATTCGATAATTCCAATGCAAACTAACTCATCACGTATTATGAATACCAGAGTGGCAAGTATTTTTAACAGAATTTTTTTATAACAACTTATTAAGGAAGTTGCAATACTAACTAACTCAACTTTAACTACAAACTATTGTCACTGAAATAGCAAGTTTTACTGTAGCTCATGATAGAAGTCATGATAACCGATGCAAATTAACTCGACCTTGACTACATACTATGTTTCACTGGAATAGCGAATTATTTAACAAGATCTTCTACAACGACTCATGATGAAAATTACGACAGTTCAAATGCAATCTAACCATGTATTATGATTAGGTGATAAATAAATTTTGTAACAGAATTTCTTACGATAGGAATTACGATAAAAACTAACTCTAACTACAAACTATTGTCACTGAAGTTTTACTTTAACTCATGGTAGAAGTTACGATAATTCTGATGCAAACTAACTCGACCTTAACTACATATTATATTCTGTAACAGAAAGGATATTTTATAGCAACTCCTGATAGAAATTACAATAACTCCAATACAAATTAACTCTACATTTTTGATTACCGGAATGGCAAATTACAATAATTCCAATATAAATTCAACCTTAACTACAACCTATTGTCACTGGAATAGCTAGTAAGTTTTACAGTAACTTATGGTAGGAGTCGGATACGATAAACTAATAACACATACTGATTACCCAAAACAAGTTCTGTAATAGAATTTTTACAGTAACGAATGATTTTGAATGCTAGTAATCTTAAAATTATTAATTTGCTTGACCATAATTGTCATCGAATAAGAGAATTCTTGACCATTATTGTTATCAGATTGAACAAATCTCTCATGAACCCAGATAGCTTGTCGCGACCTAAATGTTTATTCGAATACCCAGCCATAAAATAAAATAAAATAAAATAAAATAATAAATAAATAAACAAAAAAAACAATAATAATAAAAAAGAAAAAATTAAAAAAATTAATTTTAACCTAAATAGTTCAGTGAGCGAAGAAAAAACTCCTTATCCGCGTCGATCGGCCGTTTTGATATGTAAAGGTTAATGTCAATTTCAATCTGATTCATCAGGCAGTATAATTTGTGTTTGATCTTGAGCCTTTATCATGAGCACGTCGATGATGAAAGTATCCGCCTTGGTGTGTTTTATCTGAGCAGTAAACAAATCGTACCCTCCATCCTCACGCGATTAAACATAATATTATATTAAAATATCGCGATCTATAACTGCAGAAGTGTGCTTCTAATCTAAAATAAAATTCTATGTCTCAACAGGTAAGTGCCGCCGCGATACATCCGATCCAAAGATGTTACGAAGTCCTTCGGAAAGCTGGGACGGTTAAAGTTTTGACTTCCTCTAACTCCTTCATTCTCCATAAAGAATTTCGTGTAATTTTTTTACCATTATGGGTTCGTGTTTGAATGATTGAAATATCGATTTATTGCACAAATGCCCATGTATAGGGAATCGAAAGAATACTCAGTATTCATTTCGATCGAGTTCTTGCTAGAACAATAAATTCGGAAAGAAGGTTTGTGGCTGTTATCTTGTAATATATCAAAATTTACGTTAGAAGTTGGTGAAAAATTTCATAGAATATTTCGAGTGGAAACGCGTCCATCTTAACACGGAGAACTAGGATGAGTATTCTTTAAATCACACGTTTGTACTTTTTTTGGGTATTAGATCTTCTGTGTATGATGGTTTTTCAAATTTTCTTCGCTTAGACAAATTTCCATAAGTAAGTAGCTTTTTATTTAAAGAAAGATAGAAAAAAAGTTTTTTTTTTTTATTTACTTTCGAATCAAACTTCTTTTATATTGTATCGATAGTTTATTTGAGGCTATGACGTTTTAATTAATGACGTAAAAGGTGATTATTACAAATTTTTTCTAAACATATGGTTCCGTAACTCTCCGATGAACACGCACATAATTTTACATTGATTTATTGTATGCATTTTTTTTATTAATACACGTAAATGTAAACACATTACAAATAAAACATTTTAATCGGTTAAGAATACGAAATATCAAAATATTTATATGGCAATATTTACAAAATGTTATATTAAAAAAGTGCCGACATTGAAATTAAACCCAATCTGGATAGTTATCAACCCAACGGATGGTTATATCTCTTGAGGCGGTATTTTGCAGTCCGGCGAATGTCTGAAAATTAAGAACGAATGATTAGAAAAAAAAAAAATTCGCGTTTGAAAAAGAGTTTGAAAAGAAAATGATAAATATGTTTAATTAGTACCTTTTCGAAGGAACCGTCTTTGAGTGGACGATCAAATGGATAGCCCATTGGACGGATATCAGGATATTTATCTTTTGGTTTTTCAGCACCACAGAAACTTAAACTACCACATCTAGTAACCCGAGGAACTTTATCCTTCTCCCAATCGCTAATAAATACAAATAATTTAAACTTCATGCCATTACGTGAACCACGAGGCAATAACAAATGGAATGGCCATCCGCAATCACAATATGTCTCTTCATCAGATTCATCATCTTCAGATTCGGTTGCAATTGCTGTATCATCTAATTCATCTAAAGTTTTTTGTGGTGGTTGTCTCACTACTGATGAACGATCACAATCACGTGCTACAACGGTTCTAGAATTTGCTGGAATTTCTTGTTTAAATTTATCAACTTCGATCCATTCGGCAAAATCGTTGCATAGTTCGATGGGAACAATGAAGACACGGAAAGTAGCAGTGATGTCCTATAACGACAATAAATATATAAATATGGTTAATTACAAAAGAGAGGAAAGAAAGAGAAAGTAAAGCAACAAAAATACTAAGAAAGAAATACTATCTATTTCATAAGGATCTGTTATGATAATAATTACCTTATTAGAAGTGTTCTCAACACGGAAGAAATAATACCTATGGTAATGAAAGAAAAAATTAGTAGATATTTAAATATATAGTATGTTTAAAAAAAAAAGCTCAAAAATCGTACCATTCTCGTGGGAAAAGATATTCAATTGTTTGGCTTGATTGATCATCTTCAACCCAAGTAAATTTTCTTTGTTTCATCTTAGTCTCTAATTCATTAGTAGAATGCTGATCATGTTCTTTATGGAAATTATGACCACCAAAAGTCTTTTCACCCCACTTGGTTGCTTCATCATCTTGTTGAGGATCCTTTAATCCTTTAATACCTGGTATTTTATCCTTGAAACAGAGGATAATACCATCAGATGAAATCTTTACAGATGGGCAGTCGTTAAAATGATTTGGACCTAGTTTTTCTTGATAAGCTTTAAAAAGATCGTCAACATGTTTATGCCATCTCCAGAAAACTGGATCTCGACATGCGACACGTACGTCAGCCATTACACCACGGTCAAGATCATCTAAAACGGTTAAATGAGCAAAAATTTTTAGAAATAAGGTAAATTTTAGAATTAAAAGTTGACAAATGAGTACTTACTAGTATTTTGAAAATTGATAAGTGATAACAACATATGTCCATTATTATGGAACGGAATACTATATTTTTCAAATCCAGGTTGACTAAGACCAGATTCAATTGCGTGACCCAACAATTCAATTGAAATTGGAGTTTTATTTGCATCATCAAAGTGACCTTGTTCAATAGCTTTTCTAATATTGTCGCGGGCCTGTGCCAGTTCAGCTACTTTGATGGAATTACCTGGACGACCACCTCTACCGGGAAAAGCTATAAATAAATAAATAGATAATATTAATATTAATATTAAAAAGGTAGAATTACATAAAGAAATTTTGATACTTGCTAACATCAGCTAATTTTAAGCCAGAAGGGCGAGTGGAAAAAGTTGTTTCGTCCATGTTGTCAACTAAATGTTTTGAAGGGGCATAACCTTCTGGAATAAGTTCATCATAATTTTCAAGAGGTTTTTGAACACCCAAACCAATTGCAAGACGCTCAGCAGTGTACCTTGATCATTAAAATGGTATTATTATATGATAAAGCACGTGATTATAAACATACGTCACGAGAAGTAAATTCATACCTTGCATTCATTTGTTTGTGCATGTAAATGAAGAGTTCACCTTGACGATCTTTAATATATTCTTTACTCTTGTCATCAGGGAATTGAGGATCAGGTAGTGGTTGATCAGAGTATACGATATGCCAATGTTCATGATGTTCGTTCAAATTTGGATCTTCACGCCAATAATCAAGAAATTCTTCACCACTAACATCTTGAATTGGAGCCACTGGTTTATCACCAACGACAGGACCTGGGGCCATATAAACTGGTTTAGCAGGAATAGAGAGACTTGGATTACGATGCGTCAAAGATGGAATTTTGAGTCTTCTTTTTCTAGCTCCAGGATGATGGGTAACAAAGGTCATTAAAGCATGCTGAATCATTTTCACATCATTAGTTTTACAATCTTCGATAGCTTGATCAAAAACAGCCTGAATTGAGTCAGAGTATTTGGTATCATTGGCAATGGCGTAGTATTTCCTTGTGATTTCGTTTGCATCTATCACATCTTGTTTATTAAACTGATTCAAAGCGTTAAAATTTATTAATTAAAATTTTTACAATAAAAAATCGAGTCAAAAAAAAAAAGAAATGCGATATCACACCACAGTAAAGGTTGTTTTAATGGTAGTCTTTGTTTTTGTTAGAATTGCAGAAAATGATTTCTGATGAGACGACATAATGAAGTTCGTTGAACTAAAAAAAAATCTAAAACGAGAGGAATTCCCACCCCATTTTATGTCATGGTGCTTTGGCGTTTCTCTGCAAGCCAAATTTTTTAAACACTAAAAATAGTCAAGTTTTCATTTGATCGATTCTCACCGTGAGACTAAGCAAGATGAACGATTTTTTCTTGATTGATAATCATAACGATAAATTAAATTAAAAAATTTTGTACGCATCTACTGTACATGCTCAACAAAGAATCTTCCAATACGTATTTCGGAATATGCAATACCAATTTATCTATATATATATATATTTACTATGTACAACAAAAAGGAAGGTTTTCAAAAAGGTAACATGTGAAAAAAAAAAAATTATCGCTATATAAAAAATTTAATATTGTTACGTAAATTTTTGAGAATCTAGAAATTATGCATATTGGCTGTAAAATCAACCTAGATTTGGTGATAACATTTTACTAGAGTTAGATCAGCTATTGGTATATAAGTATGTGCTACAATAGTCAACGATTTACTGTATGTTGAAATTTTACTTACGTACGTACCTTTGAAACTTGCTACGTAGCAACAATGATTTAGCGTTAGTGTTAGATGATCTTTGCATTTGTCACACATTTATTAGTTCTTTATTTGTAATTAATCCATATTTAGGAATTATTAGCTACTTTGCCTATTTAGCCAATTTCCATATCTAGAAATTATTAGCTAATTTATGATGCTACGTATGTCACGCAATAAAGAAAAAAAAGTCATCGGTGGGATAATATGCAATTATTGACGTAGTGTTACTTTGTTGGACGGAAGATTGGACGGAAAAAATTTCCAAAGTACGTATGATGTGAGAGAAAAAAGCTCTTATGTAACGAATGTTGATTAGTTCTTATACGTATCTTTTTAGTTTTTGCATTGCAGTGTGCTTACATATTTTTAAAATTTTAATTTCAGAATTTAAAAATATTGAGAGTCTATAGGTTTAATTATAGTTATAGATAAGACAATATAATTAGTTCTCATAAAAACAAAAATATATGTATGTTTTTTTAATTATCGCGGGTTTCGAAATGGTAGAAATTAATAAAAAAATTTCTCTAGTATACCTATACAATCTTCCCCAGCATCGCCACCAATTTTTTTTCGATCACGTGATCGTACAAAAATCGTTAAGTTCGTTTAGATTAGGGTTAGGGTCTGTGCTAAGGTTAGGGTTTATGTGTTTTTAATAGCAAAATCGCTCAAGAAAAACTTTTTGTTAATGCACAGAAGGTGATTTCTTATGTAAATTTTTGAGTTAGAGGAGAATTTTTGAAAACGAACGTTTGTTTCGGATCTTCCTGATTGTGTTACGTTACACCAAGGCGTGATTTATTATTGGATAGTTTCACGTGATCGAAAAAATTTTATTAGTATTTTGGTGGCGATCCAGGGGAAGTTTCCGAAAGATGAAATATCACGTGATCTGCACGTGTCCGTAGACTTTCCGATCAAATTTATTACAGACATGTGACTATTAATTGCAACTATTCGATTGGAAAAATTTTAATAACGAATGAAGTTTGGGTACGAAGGTAAAAAGCTTGCCATCATTTCTAACGACGAAATCAAATTATTAAACTAAATTGGTAAAATTTTATTTCTAGTTTATAGGCTAGATTAATTGATTCTTTAGATTTTATAACTGATGTGCTTTATGGGCCGGTCAAGAACGTGTGCCTAATTTTTGATCTTTATTTTCACGCAAGTATTACAAAAGATTTTAAAAAAAAATTTTTATATACAAACTAGCACCGAAAATCTTTCTGAAAAAACTCGGTTGTTTTCGAATTTGAAGAAACAAAGTTGAGTTGATATTAGGGATCGGAACCGTTTAAAATTTTCTTAATTTAATTGTTTAATCTATTAACCTTAATCCGGTATTAAAATTATCCTGGCCCGTGATAAACATAATTCGGCCCGGCGGCACTATAAAATTTTATGTTCCAAACCCTAGTTGATATTTTAATCATGTCAAATCCGAAAAAGAAAGGTTAAGGCTGTGTCAATAAAGTTGTCGAAGATTTGACAGATACATAAATTATTGCCAACATCTCATATTAAAAAATTAGTACAAATGAAAGGTTTTTGAGCTCAGAATTTTATTTATTTACTGTCGTTTCTTGTAACAAACTAATAACAGTTTCTAAAAATGTAATCACACGTCGCAAGCGATAATGTTTTATTCATTAACAAGTTACACTTTGGAAAAAAAATTCTAATTATATGCATATCAGATAAGAAAAAAATTCATATTTTGACATGAAAATAACGACATTGATCAAAAATCATTATCAATTTCCATATTTTGATCTTGCGCAAGAAAAAATACTTGCTCTTTCCAATCTTTGACTCCCTCCTCCTCATCTTCATCTTCCTCATCTTCATCTTCTTCATCGGATTTTCTCTTTTTAATTAATAACTCCAGCATTTCATTTTTTTTTTTAAGATTAACATTATCGCTTTCGAGATTAAAATTTTCATCGACAAGTTTCCGCAAATTTCTATCTTTAGTTTGAATATAAGTCGTTTGTTCATGATTTACACTTTGTAAATTATTCACTTCAGTACGTAAATTTTCCACTTCAGTACGTTCAATTTCTAGCTAAAGTTCAAAAAAAAAAGATTAAACCTAAATTTTATTTTTAAATTTATATTTGTAATATTCAATACCTTATAACTTAAGCTTATATTGCTTTCGACACATTCGTCGTGTTCAACTTGCAATCTGCTCATTTTTCCTTCTAGTATCATAATTTCATTTTCATTTTTGCTGATAACTTCGCTTTGGGTGTTGATCATGATATGTAAATTTTCAATTGCCTCATCTTTCTTTTCAATTTCCTCATCTTTTTTTTCAATTTCTACATCTTTCTTTTTGATTGTCTTCTCCAATTTCTTGATCTTTTTTTCTAGTCTAGCATAGTAATATGAAAATTATTTTAAAATAAATAAATTTAATAAAAAAAAAAAAGATATTACATTCTAATTTGTCTGTTGAAAGCTTTTTGTTCGTTTTTAAATTCGGTTATGGCTTTTTGGTAATCGAAGTATTCTTTGTTTACAAATACAATTTGTTGGTTGGTACTTTTTATTCGCTCATTAATTAAAGTGAGCATTTTGTCTGGGATTTCTTTTTTCGTCATTCTACGAAGAAATTTAACATGTTCTATTAGAATCGACAACAAATATTCTTTAGGATCACGGTTTTTCCTGGTCATTTTGGCGTATATTTTTTCTTTGTCAGATCTTATTTAAATAATCATCATGCAACATTTATAAAAGATTATATATAACGATGATTATGTTAGCCTACCGGTCGTAACATAATCATCCAAGATGGATTTGATTTGCTTATTTCATCACACCGTAAACAGCCTACAGGTCGTGAATACAGGTTCTTACACAAATCCATCTTTGTTTTTTTTAACATATTTGTAATAGTGAGTATCTGTATTATTTTTAACAATATAGATATGTAAAAAATACTTCCCGTTCTTGAAAGAAATTTTAGCAAAGTTTGTTCGTGTTGAAGTCTATTAGAGTGTTTTTTTTATGTTAATGCCAGATTTGGCTGCTTTTGAGTAAATCGTCGGTTTTTATATTGGCGTTAAAATGATCATGCTACATATATTATATATTGTCATTTCGATTAACTAGTTTTTTTTTTTAATATTCACAGTACTGCATTTAAATATGTAACTAAATTTATATTACAATCCATTAGCCTAGTGTTATAAAATAAATTACAAGATATTATTTTGACTCGGATACACGTTGATAATCTTCGTTTACTATTAACTTTGCTTAAGACAGGTTTTTTAGTATATAAGTTAATTATGCATGTATCCGGTTTTTATTTTTTGAAATCAAATTTAAAAGCCAGTTGCATATATCAATAAAGTAAGAGTAAGTCTAAATTTATGATTAATCTATAGCGATAGATATTCACCGGTTTAAAATAATCTGTGGATTATTTATATTATCTGTTCAATGTTCGGTTCGCATCACTATGTTAGTATTTTTAAAATAAAAAATGCGTATTGAACTTAAATTAAAATACTTTTATATTCAGTTATATGTTTTTTTATATTGCTAAATCAACTGAGTCATGATTTAGATACAAAAAATTACACGTGATTTGTCGAAACTATAAATTTATGACTGACTCTTGTGGTAGTTCAAAATTTCTAATTAACAATCTTAATGTCATTTGAACTAAGAAGCCTGCCCTTTCCGCCAAATCAAAAAACTTACTATGATTATTTGAATTTTTCGAATTCTTTGTGGTCATCACAACTGACAAATAAATCTAACAATTTGGATTCTTTAATAAATGAGGATGCTTCTCAAGGTAAGAAATTATAATTAAAATAGTAATAAGAGTATAATTAATCTTTTTTTTATATATAAGATACAATTACTTTCGAAGATTTTTCGGCCAGTGAATCAACAAATAAACCAGAAATAAATTATGTTGCACTTGAACAAAAATTAATTTATGTTAATCGTAATCAATATAAATTTTATATATGGCTTTTTACTCATTCATTTATACTTAATTTGTTTATTATTATTTTTATCATAATTTCAAAAAGTATTTATGTGATCTGTAATTATACTGCCTGTCGGAATTACAATAAGAACAGGTTTTTTTTTTATATGGTTACTTGAATTATATAACGTTAATTTTATCATGCATGAAAATCATGTAATTTCTATAATGAATTGAACTTTAAATTAGAGTGGCTTTTATGTTAGCGTTAGCATTAAATTATATTAGGTTAATATCGATATTGTATAATTCAAAGCCACATAATTATATAACATTTATCATATAAATTCTACTCTAAATTTCATTGATATCGATATTGTATAATTTAAAGAGATAATCAACTGATACGAATTTTCAAACTTTTTTTTGGAGCATCACAAAATTTTACGCGGAAAATATTGTATCAAACATAATCAGTATCAAATATGAATTTGTGTAATTGTCTTGACGAAGAAAATACAATTGTAAATTAATCTTAAACTGAATTTTAAGTAGATTGATTTTTATTAAAACACGTGATTCTATAGCCTGAAAAAGTTTATCTTACATTTCGCGAAAATCATTTGATAATCAAGCAAAACTGGTAAACTTTCTTAATTTGAATAAAGTCATTTGACTGCACGCGTGAGTATTTATCAATCAATATCAGATATTACGTAAATTATCTTGAGTAGATTATCTTATGCTACTATAGAAGTCTGAAAGTTTATCTTACATGAGTCTATTGACTTATTGACTGACCCCTTATGCTTGTTAGATATAATTGTGATTAAATGTTTTATAATGGAAGTAGGTAGTCTATCTTTCAAATCTATTGTCTAACGAAGTAAAACTCATGCGACATTATCAAAATAGATTATTGCACATGCGTGAGTTATTCTAAACTATATTTTAAGGAGATTGATATTTTTACTGAAACACGCAATTCTGAAGCCTAAAAAGTTTATATTTCGTCAAAATTATTAGGTCTATTAACTGACTCCTTATAATATCACGCGACACTAATAAATTAAGGCAATTAAGGCAGTAGTTTTTCTAGATAATTTATTAAAATAAGAATGTTTTATACTGTCGAATTACAATAAGAACGGCTTTGATAACAATCTCTTAATTAATTGCTATGACTCTATAGACAGTTCGATTTTCGAACTCTTTCACGTGATTTTAAAAAACCATGTAATGTTTACAATAATCAAGTTGGAAATTACACGTGATTTGTCAATTAAATTAGTGCCAAATTTAGCTTGGATATACAGTATTCGGAATTACTAATAACATAAAAACCGGTTAATATCGATATTGTATAATTCAAAGAGATAATCAATACGAATTTCGATCTTTCTTTGGAGCATCACAAAATTTCACGCGATTTCTATCAGAAAAGACGGGTATCAGATATGATTGTTAAGCCTGAAAAGTTTATCTTACATAAGATTCGTAAAACTATTTGCATTACCTTTGTAATGAATTAAGAAGTATTGATTTATATACACGTACACGTTAATTTTATCATGCATGTAACCCGGTTTTCATTCTTGAAATCGAAATTGTTAAATATATTGATAAGTAATTTCTATCAAACTTTAAATTAGAGTGGCTTTTATATTACGTAATATTAAATTAGGCTTAAATATATACAATAATTTTATATTATTCAAAAGAGATAATCTCTTAGTCAATTGTCATGACCCTACAGACAGTTCGAATTTTTGATCTTTTTTTAGAGCATCCACACCAGTAAAGACTGTTAGATCAATACAGATCTACTTTATTATAGTGATATTTTTATTAAAACACGCGATTCTAACCCTGAAAAGTTTATTACACATGTCTATTAACTGAAACATCATGACAGTTTGTCTATTAGAATCCCTCTTTTGAAGTTAAACACGCGTAAAGATATTTTATTTTACTAAAACTGGTAAGTTTATTGACTGACCAAGATAGTTCAAACATGACATTTGATGAAAATCTTTGCTCCTGTGCAGCTCAGGAGTTCGAATAAAAAAAAACATTAGTTTTATAAAGAAACTGTGGAAGTAATTATCAAAAATTTTATAAAAGAAGCCTCAAAATTCAAGGTTGCAAGTTAATTCTTGTCAAAAAATAAAATATGTCAAGAAGATATCCTGAAGATTGTGTTGAATATAATGGTTTTTGCTTGTACGCAAGATTTGAAAGAATAGTTCATGATGAACAAAATACTCAAATCAATGAATTTGAATGCTCCCCTAACCAATTTACTCAACAACCTCCTTTCGTTGGTCCTAACCATATCGGATCTTTTCATCAACATTCTCATTATGGACCTATTCAACAACCTCAAATTATGAATGGACATGTTCAACAACCACTTATTTTTAATGGACCTCGGCACTCTCGTATTTGCAGACCCGAACAATTTACTCAGCACCCTTGTATTAACGGATTTGATCAACTTCCACAAATTACTGAGATCAACAATGTTAATAATGAAAATTATATCCCAGCTGAGCCTAATCCACAGATTCAACACCATCAAGCCACCATTAGAAATTATCAGATTCAACCACCCCCATTGACTCCTGTGCAAGCCAACATTCAAATTAATAACCTCCAAAGACAACCATCATTCGCATCTCAAACCTCAAATTCCTCAAATATAACTATCCAGCCCTTACAAGAGTTTAAAAATTGTAACTGTCTTGTTTGTAGTTTTTTAAAGAATCAATGTTTTCAAAGTATTGGCGATGAAAATTGTGTTACACGAAATGAACAAAATGAAGAAGTGAATGTGAATAATGCAACAGTTATCATCAACAATAATAATCCTCAAAACTCGAAGAAATTGAAATACATTGTTTTTACTTTTATCATTATTTGCGTAGTTTTATTTTTAGGATTGATTTTTTTCAACAGTAACATCACAATTTTATCCGCTGTTTTTGCTGATAATAGAACCTTTTTCTTGAATTTAAGGTTGGTGGGGCAATTAGTTGCAATTATGAGTACTGCCATTAGTTTTTTTAAATTTTACACTACTGGCAAATAATACTTGATATTCACTTTTTGCGGTTTGATTTTCTTTACATTTAACAACATTTTAAGCTTTTGATAATAAAATCTACTTTGTCTTGATGTTGATGATGCGAGTTTGTCACTTACAGTAATAAAAGACTTATTCGATTTTGAACCAAAAAAATTATAAAGGTGTTTTGGTTTACTTTATCTGTTATATCATTTCTTAGATTGTCGCTAAAATAAGCTCATAAAGAATAGTAAGAATTGCTCTTTACAATAATAAAAAAGACACTTTTGCATAGTAAATTAATGCCATTTCCAAAAATTTCAAGATCTTAGCAGCTCGATTACTTCTTGAGTTGAAATTGTTTCATTTTTGTTTCTTGGATATTCGATAGTTTCAGCAGTCGTTGGAGTAAAGTTTATTATAGCTTTAATTTAATAGATTTAATCAGATTAAATTTTGTATCGACGTTCTTAATTCAGAAACTTTAGCATCGAGTTTAATTTACCTGGCTTGGGGGATGTCTAAAGCGGAGTAGATTCTTATAATATATATTTTATCGAATTAACTTTAGGGTTAGGGTTATCTTGGATTGGGGCTAGAGCAGGTTTTAGTAAATTATGTATAAGCAAAATTGCCTTCCCGACATTTTTACTTAACTTACCCAGGGTAGGTTTTGTATTTTTCAAGTTTTTCGCTTTTTTTCTTGTTTTGCTTCGTCGGCGATCATAATTCTATAATTTGATTGGTCGTGATCACGTAATTCTACTCCGCTTTAGACGACCCCCTGGCTTGTATTGATAGTTAAACTCATTACTTTAAATCTAGCCTAGTTTTATCATTAATAAAGTTAAAATCAATAAACTAAATATTCTGTGAAATGAGTTATTATTAAATTATAACGAACAGCTCGTAAATTCTCAATATTATACATCTATCTACATTAATTAATTCCGCGTGCGTTTTCTGAAAAAAATTATTACCTAGGCGCCCAAATTTATATTCGAATTCTGCTCAAATTAAACTATAATTTTTCATTCGAATTTCTCCTAAATTAAACCCCAAT